GGGGGGGGGGGGGCCGTTGTCCCCACGGCCGCTTTGTCATTAACTTGTGCAAGACGGGAGGGGAATCGTGCAAAAATATTTCCTTCTCCATCCTGTCCCCAAAGCACCCAGAGCCAATGGGGGTGGGGAGGCGACGGGTGCGGCAGCAGCAAGGGCAAGGTGCTGGGGCATGGAGCACAGCGTTGGTGCATGGGGTGCAGTGTTGGGAGCGTGGGGCGCTGTTGGGGCACGGTGTCGGTGCTGCAGCTGCCACCAGCTTCTCGTGCATGGGGTGAGGGTCCTGGAGCCAGGCTGGAGGGCTTCACTATGGGCCCTGCAGCGGTGCCAGCTGTGCATCCCTGCAGCAGGAAATGCAGTGGGAGCCAGGAAGGTTTCTGAGAAGTGGTGCTGACCTGTGCCGGGCCTCCCTGCGGTTTCCCCCCCCTCTCACCTCCTGGCACAGTCACGCTGCATGCTCATGCACCGGTGCACAGCTCAGGAGGGGCAGCTCCTCCTGCTCCCCCCCACCAGCACCCCTCGGGGAGCCCCTGGGTGATGTGGGGTGCTGGGATCCCCCGGCACACCAAGCAGCCCCTACTCCTGGCGCTTGGTTTGTGTCTGTCCTGCGCCCACTGCACACACTGCACCCAGCACTCATCCTGCCGTGCACTCCGTGTTCAGACTTCACCATGCAATCCCCACTAACCCCTGCACCGTGCACCCGCCTTGCATCCATGTTCACCTCGTGCACCCAGCTCCCATCTCTACACCAAAGCTCCTGCACCAGTGCTGCAGCTGATCCAGCAGTGTCCTGTTGCCCATCCGTGCTGAACTGATGTTGCGGGGCTCCAAATGGAGCTGGGGGGGCACGCATTACTGACCAACTCGGTGTATTTCCAGCTGGATGCATTGCTGACGCGCTGCATTGCTGCTAACACGGTGCATCGCTAACCTGGTGCGTTTCCAGCCCCGCATCAGAGGCTCGGAGAAGGATGCTGGGGGGGCCGTGGCACTGCGTGCCCACGGATGGAGGAGCCGGGGGGAGCAGCTGAAGCCCTTCCCAGCCCTGTCACGGCCGCTGCGCTCTCGGAGGAAGCCGCTGCTCTCTTTCACCCGGCGCTGTTAAAAATACCGCTCCCGATTTTAATACCGCTGCTATTTCAGGTGCTGCTTCGGGCTGGGAGCAGGAAGTGAAACCACACGGCTCCCGATTCTGCTTGCCCCTCGCAGCCCCCTGCGCCACCCCTGGCCGAATCCAGGGTAATCGGGTCTATTTGAAGCCCAGCAGCCGGGCGCCCGCCTTCACCTTCTGGGCCTTCCAGCGCAGCAGGCGGATGGCGCGCAGCCCGAGCCGCAGCACGGCGCTGTATTTGAACACCAGTTTGTAGAAGGCCTCGGTCATGAGTGCACCGCTGGGGTCGGCGTGTTTCAGCGCTGCCATCGGTGTGTATGCTGCGTTTGTTTGGTGCCGGAAGGGCGGCCGGGCCGCCTCGATCACCCGCAGTGTGTGCTGCACATGAGGACGGCACGGTCGCCTTCCCATCCCTGCCTCCAGCCCCTCATGTCCATCACCTCGTGTCCATCCCTTTATCTCCATCCCTTCATCTCCATCCCCTCATCTCCATCCCATCATCTCCCTCCCCTCATCTCCATCCCCTCATCTCCCTTCCCTCGTCTCCATCCCATCATCCCCATCCTCTCATCTCCATCCCCGTCCTCATTTCCATACAGCTCACATTCTCATTCCCATTCTATTCCCACCCTCATCATCTCCATCCTATCCCCATTCCCACCAAGTTTCCACCAACATTCCACCTCCACCACATCCCCATTGCCATCCAACTCCCATCCACATCTCTACACCATTTCCCCATCCTCATCCCCATCATTTGCAGCCCCACCCTATGGCCATTCCATTCCCACCCAAATTTCCATCACCATCCCATCACTATCCCACAATCATTTCCTTCCCATCTCCACCTCCATGCTCACCTTATCCCCTTCCCATTCACACACAAATTTCCATTCCAGTTCCCATTCCCATTCCAACCCCATCCCCATCCATCCTCACCACATCCCCATCCCAACCCGTCCCCATCCCACTTTGGGGGATTTTAAGGAGCAGGAGGAAGGAGTCAACACAGGAGATGCCAGCGCCGCCCAATTGCTACTCCTCATTAGTGCTAATTGAGCTCTCTTGTATCCTCCCATCCCACCCTGCAGCTCCGCCATCACCTCTGCAATGTCCTCAGGGCTCTGCCCCAGGCTGGCGAAGACATCCCTGGAGTTCCGCAGGTAGAGGTCGGTGAAGATGGCAGCGGTCTCAGGGTCGGTCTGTGAGTAGTCGGCGCGCTTGGCCTCCTCGTACACCTTGGCCTCGAACTCAGTGGTCACCGGCCCCGGCTCCACCAGGCTGATGCTGCAGGGTGGGATTCTGAGGATGATGGTGGCTGAGACCCCCCCCCCCACACACCCCTCAGCCCCCCACTCACGCCACATTGAAGCGCAGTGCCTGCACCACCAGGCTCTCACAGAAGCCCTCCACGGCGAATTTGGAGGCGGCGTAGACGTCGTTGAAGACGATGCCTGGGCGAGGAGTGGCAGTTGGGGGTGTGCAGGATGGGGAGCCCCCCAGCGCCCTGTGCCCCCATACCCTGCAGCCCCATCACGCTGCTGATGACCACGATGTGGCCGCTGCGGCGACGCTTCATGTCTGGCAAAACCTCCTTCACCAGGCGCACCAGCCCAAAGAAGTTGGTGTCCATCAGCCCCTGCATGGCCGCCAGGCTCTGGCACTCCAGTGGCCCAATCATCCCCACGCCGGCGTTGCTGACTGTGGGGTGCAAAGCATGTTAAGGGCAAGCTGGGGTCCCCGGCACCCTTGGAATGGGGGTTCCCCAATATGGGACCTTGGCACAGAGGTGTGGGATGGAGGCTCCCCAGGAAATGGGGGTCTTTGGCACAAAAGGACTGTGGTGCACCTAGCGTGGAGGGTCCCCAGTGCATGGGGCACTGCTGGCCCAGGGGCTCCCGGTCCCCAGTGCCACATGGGAGGAGGGTCATCAGCAATGGAATGTCCCCAGTGTGTGGAGTAAGTAACCCACATGCAGAATGCTCCTGGTGCAGGGGGTGACCCCAGTGCGGCACGCCCCTGGTGCAGGATGTCCCCAGTACGGGGTGTCCCTGGTGCATGGAGCAGCCTGGGCTCTGTGCGTGGGGAGCTGCAGGGCCACACAGAGACGTGGCTCACCCAGGACATCGACGCGGCGCCCGGGGATGCTGTCGAGACAGGCGCGGATGGACGCCTCGTCACACACGTCCAACTGCTTCACCTCCAGCGTCCGGCCCAGCGCTGACCCCGCCGCCTCCACCAGCGCTGCGCTGCGGGCCATATTCCTCACCGTAGCGATGACTGAGGGGGGCACGGGAGGGATCAGCCCCCCGTCCTCCCTCTCCGCACCGTTGGCACCCCCTGCTCTGCTCACCTCGGAAGCGGCGCTGCTTGTCCCGTGCCAGGCGCACCGCCAGCGCCAACCCGATGCCGGATGAGCAGCCGGTGATCAGCACGGTGCGGGGAGCCATGGCCACGGCCTCACCACCCACGCCGTGGCTTTAATAGCTGCTGGCCCCCAAATCCCAGCCCTAATCCCCCCACCCCGCTAATCCTCCCCGGCTCTGGGATTTGCGGGGCCTCGTGGCTGAGCTGCACGTGGTGCACAGAGGGGCCTTTGTGTGGCACCGGGGGGGCACTGCGGGGACGTGGTGGTGCGGGGGAGCTGCTGCCATGCGACGAGGTTGACCCCCACAGCCCCCCCGACGGGGATGAGGATGGCGTTGGAAAGGGGAGAAACAGGAGCTCTGAAAAAATAACGTTTATTCTCATTTTGTATAAAACACATCACAGTTCGACTGGCCTTGGGGGGGGGGCATGGGGAGGTGTGGTGGAGACCCCAAGCCCCGCATCCTCATGATGGGGAGGGGAGCAACTCCACGAGCCCCCTGGAGATGGGGGTGAGGGGTCTGCAGCCATGACCCCGTGAGAATGGAGGGGCTGGTGCTGAGGGGGACAAAGTGCAAGAGTGTGAGGGGCCACAGCAGCGGGGTGTGGGGTGAGCCCCCCTCGTCCCTGCGCTCACTGCTGCGAGCGGTGCCCTTGTGTGCCGGCAGGGCTGTGCTGTGCAGTGTTGGCTGTGTCGAGCTGTGCCAGTGCTGCTGCACGGCGCTGAGCTGTGCCAACCTATGCCAGCAGTGCCGTGCCAAGCTGTGCCAATTTCTGCCGGCGATGCCATACTGAGCTGTGCCAAGCCGTGCCGGCAGCGCCAGGCTCATAGGGCCACACAGGTGCAGTAGTGCCGCAGCTTGCAGGGCAGGATGCCACGGTTGATCTGGTGGAACTCCACGAGCTGGATGAGGTCAGCAAAGCGGGTCTGTCCGTCGTCCATGGTGAAGTAGAGCCGTCCCTCCTCCTCGCTCTGCCAGGCAGGTGAGCATCAGGCCTGGCTGTCCTCCCCCCAACCCCCGCATACCCTCCCCGCAGCCATGGCACTCACCGGCAGGATGAGATAGTGCTTGACTTTCTGCAGGTGGCACAGGGACAGCACGAAGCCCTTGGGGTTGCGCTGGCTCTCCCGCACCAGGAACACCCTGCGAGCCCCAGAGCAGAGTCACCCCAAAGCCCCGAGGGGCCAAGTGTGACCCCTATGTCCCCCTCCACCTTGCCATCCTATCCCCCCCCATCCCCTGGGCTCCAGGACCTCCCTATACCCCCTGTGAGCCCTTTATGAACTGTGGGACCCCACGACCCCCAGTGGCCGTGTGCACCCAAGGAGTCCCTGATCCACGACCCCCCCTGTTCCATACCCATCCACCAGCCCCTGGCGGCCGATGAGCTGCTGGGTGTCCTCCCGTGAGATGCGCCCGTGGAACCACGGCTGGGTGCGATGAATGGCTGCAGGGAGAGGAGAGGGTCACCAGGAGGGGTTCCCCACCCCTCCGGGCAGGAACCCCTGAGCTGGGGGTCTCCATGCTCCTGCCTACAGGTGTTGCTCACCAGCACTGAGCGGGGAGCTCTGGCAGGCAGCAGGCAGGCTGTACCGGTGTGTCGTCTTCTTCTGGCCGTGCGAAGCAAAGCAAGCAGCAGAGTGAGCGCACGCTGAGGGGGGGTCCCGCTCCCAGCCTGTGCCCCCCACTCACCCTCCAGGCCTGCGCCTCCTCCAGCACTGCTGTCAGCACCTCGCTGGGGTTCTCAATCACCCGCCCTGTGCACCCTGAGAAGTCCATGGCCACCAGCGCGCTGTCTGACACACTCTGCTGTGGGGACAGTGACAGCGAGCTGGGGGGCGGGGGGCACCCCGTGGATCAGAGCTGCGCCTGGAAGGGTGGGGGGCACTCACCAGTGGTGTGGGGGTGATCCAGGGGTGCTGGCTCAGGCGTGCTTGTGCTTGCTGGTAGTTGCGGTAGAGCTGCATGCCGTACTGGGGGTGCCCCAGGGGGGCAAGGCGGTGTGAGTCTCCCTTTGCGTCTCCCCAGTGCCTCCCAGTGCACTTCAGCATCCCCCAGTCTCACCCACTGCCCTCCCAGCACCCCACCAGCACCCCTCTAACATCCCTCAGCATCCCACCAGCATCGCTCTGGTACCCCTCACTGCCCCCCAGCGCCCTCCAGCTGGGGCTCACCTTGAAGAGGCGGAATGCTGCTATCCAACAGGTCCGACTCTGCTCATCCTCACTGCAGAGCAGCTTCAGGCCCTTCACCCCACTGCGCACCTTGTAGGGCTGTGGGGCGAAGCCAGATTGATCCATCGCAAAGCAGTCCCCCAAAGCCCCCAAGTCCCTGTCACCCTTCAGTGAGCAAAGACCCTGCGCAGAGCTGGGTAGGGTGCCCAGAAGGGGCGCACCTTGATGCAGAACCCAAACTCGGTGGGTGTCCCGTAGTGCTTCTTGCCCTGTGTCACGTAGTAGATGTTGGACTCGGTGAGGTCGGCGAAGTACTGCAGGTGCCGGGGGTCCTGGGGCCGGGGAGGGGGCATCAGGGGCTGCTCCCACTGCCTCTGGGCTCGGGGTGCCCTTGACTGCACCTCACCTTGGACGTGCCCTTAGTGGAGTAGTAGAGCCCCGAGCGGCGCAGGGAGAAGTAGAAACGCTTCCAGACCTTGCGACTGGCCTCGCGCAGCTGCAGGAAGCCCTGCACCTCAGGGCAGCTCCCGGAGTTCAGGAAGTTCTGGGGGGAGACAGGGGCTGAGGGGCGGCCAGGCACAGCAGGGCCTCGTGGCATGGATCGGTCCCCGTGGCACAGCTGGGTCCCAGCGTCACGTTTGGGTCCCCATGGCATTGTTGAGTCCTCACGGAGCCTCCGAGCCCAGCGCCATCATACCTGGATGAGCTCCGAGTGCGCCATGCTCTTATTTGCCTCCAGACAACTGGACACCATCACCTCGGGGAAAAGGGACTGCTGGGGGGAACAGGTGGGTCAGGGGATGCCTGCGGCTCTCCGTGGGGAGACGGGGCCCTGTAGTGTGGCTCACGTACCGCGTTGCTCTTGAAGAGTTCATACTTGGCGAAGTTCTTGCGGAAGACGAAGCGGCTGTCAGCACCAAGGGGCCACATGCTCTGCACCTCCACCACCGACTCGTGGTCCTCCAGGCAGCGCTCTGTGGGGACAGGGGCTCAGCGGGGGCCGTCACCGTGCCACGCCGTGCCGTGCCGTGCACTCACCCAGTGCCAGGTGCTGGTGCAGCTCCACCAGGGCCCAGCTGTGGTCGTGCAGCGCGTGCGTCCTCTGCACCAGCATCTCGCAGAGCTGCCGTGCTGTCGTGCCTGCTGACACCTCCAGTGAGCGGCACGACCCATCCTCGCTGAACACCTTCACCAGCTGTGAGACCGCAGTGGGTCAGGGCCCCGTTACCCTGCAGGAGACCCCAGGAGGCCCCAGACCCACCGCCGGGCACTCACGTGGCAGGCGCCTTCACGGGGGGGGTCCCTGCCCGCCGGGGGGGCTGCTGAGGATTGGCGAGTTGGAAGGGCTGCAGAGCTCAGGGAAGGGGTTGGGGATGTTGGGCAGTGATGAGGCACGCGGCTCCTCCTCTGACAGCGGCCGGCTGTGGGGCAGAGATGGGCTGAGCCCCCTGTCTGCCCCCCAGCCCACCCCACACCGCAGGGCTGAGCCCCTCGCACCCACCTGGTGCTGTGGATGAAGAGGGGCTGCGAGCGGCGCAGGTCGGTGGCAGGCGGCCCCTCGCCCACGTCCCCCTCCTGCTCCACGCTGCCCACCTCGGGGGGGTCCCGGACACAACTCTGCTGGGCCCCCCCGTCCATGGCATCATCTGAAGGGCAGAGAATGGGGGCTGCAGCTGGATCCCACCCAGCAGCACCCCAGTGGGGTTTCACTGGTGCTGAGTGCTGTGAGTCAGTGTGGGGGTGACTCAGCACTGCTCCACCTGCCCCCTCGGTGCCCCTGCCCACCCCCAGGGGGCTGCATGCTGCCGGTGCCGCCGTCCTCAGCCCAAAGATTCGGCACTGCAGTGAAGAGCGCAGCTCCATATGAGACAATGGAGAATCTCCCACGCCTCCATTTCCCATGCGGGAGGCGCTCCAGTGCTCCAGCATCACCAGTGGGAGATTGGTGGTGCCAAGGCAGTGGGTGAGAGGGCTGCACTGAGCCAAACTGGGGCAAACTGGGCTGAAACCAGCCAAGCGGGCTGAACCGGGCTGGGCTGAGACATGCTGGGCTGAAGTGGGCCAAGCTGGGCTGCGCCGTGTTGTGCCGGGACGAACTGTGCCATGTTGTGCCGGGATGAGCCGAGCCGCGAGCGCCGCGCCGGCACAACCGTCATCACGGCGCGGTACAGCCCAGCCCAGCCACCTCCTCGGGTCCGGCCAAACCAGTTCTGGAGGCCGCTCCCAGCTCCACCTCACCGTGCTGGCATCCGTGCCGCGCCGGGGCCGGGGGCGAGGAGACGGAGACCGCCGTGGGAACGGCCCCCCGCCGCGCCGTGCCGCCCTCGCCCATGGCTCCGCGCCCGCTGCCAGCACCCACACATGCAGGGGACACGGGGACACGGCGGTGCTCCAGGGGACCCCGCGTGGCTCTGCCTGGCACGGCTCGGTGTGGATGGGCACGGCCTGGCGTGGCGCGGCACACGCTGCCCAGGACAAGCAGAAGCAAGCAAAGCCCGGCGCAGCGGTGCGGCCGCCTGGCACGCGGCACACGTAACACACGCGTGTGTGGCACCGTGCCGTGCTGGTGGCACTCGGGGTTAATCATTCACCCGCGGCCTCTCCAGCCCCACTTCCCGATGGCGATGTTGTGAGATCCAAGTCCACGGCTGGGTGGGCACCGGGGCCCTGTCTGCGTGGTGCCACAGCGCCGTGGCACTGAGATGTGCGGGGCCACCACCATCCCCATCCCCTTTCCATCCACATCATTATCCCAGCCTCAGCCCCGTCCCACTGCTCTCTCCCCTCATCCCAAAACCCTGCCAGCTCTGGGTGCTGTGGGCTTGGTGCCCCTTCCTAGTTCTCAAAGTAGAGACACAAAGGGGATAACAGAGGTGTTGAGGGTGGGTGGGGTGTGGATGGGGACCTCACAGAGCCCCACCTCCACCAGCCCCTCACCGTGGCCTCAGGTTACCCCGACCCAGTGGCTGTGGCAGGGTGGTGACAGCAAGGGGGGACATGGAATATCCCTGGGGTCTGGGACAAAGGGAGGGCCTTGGGGCTATGGGGTGGGGGAAGCAGGGCCACCGGGGTTAAGGGACACAGGGCTGCGGGGCTGGGAGATGGGGGTCACCGCACTGTATCCCATAGGGCCAACAGAGTCAAGGGTTGGTTCCAATGGCCACTACAGTTATGGGACAACGTTCCTGGGGCCATTGGTTTTAAGGGATGGGGTCTGAGGGCCACCAGGGTTAAAGAGACGGGATCCCAGGGCCGCCAGGAGGAAAGGGTGGGATCCCAAGGCCACCAGCGCTATAGGGCACGGTTTCCAGGGTCACCAGAGTTATGGAATGAAGTTAGAGGGTCACCAAGGCTACAGGGACGGGGTCCCATGGGCTGCTGGTGAGGGCTGGCTGGGTGCCGGTGCCGTAGAACTGGGATTCCTGTAACTACGGGGCGTTGGCAGCAAAGGAGGAAGAAGAGGAGCCGGGAGGAAGACGAGGGGAAAAGGGCCGGGATGGGGGAGAGGGGAGCAGCGCCTGGCGGTACCCCAGCACAGGGACCCCCACCCCAACCCCGCTCCTACCTGCAGCTCTCGCCGCTTCCTGCCGCCCTCCCGCCGGACCGGGCATTCCTGTTTTTCCCTGGCTTTATCTACCTGCGCCAGCGCCCGCCCCCGCCTGACATCACTGCGCTGGGGCGGCCCCGGCCCCACAACGGCCCCGCGATGGGATCAGCCCAGCTTTGGTCCCACAGGGGATGGGGATTTTCCCACAATGCACTAGGGTGACCCCGAGGCCGGCCAAGATGTGGGGCAGAGGTGGGTGGGATGCAGGATGGGGGGATGCCTTCCCCTGCCTGCCTCTGCCCCGCAGGGCGGCCAGCCAAGGTGTGGGGTGGGACCCTCTCACTGGGAACCATGTGTGGGGGGCTGGAGTGGGGATGGGGGTCCCCAGTGGCATTTGTGGGGGTCTCCTGGGTGATACGTGAGGCACACATGGCTGGAGATGCATGGAGGGTGCCCGTGGGTCTCCATGGGGGATGTGGGGTCCCCGTGTGGCTCAGGGGTGTCCCTGTGGGGGACCTCCCCCATAGGAGGCACAGGGGATCCCTGTCGGGTGCTGGGGGTCCCAGAAGGTCATTGAGTCTCCAGAGGGGGTCCCCACGGGGTTTCCCTCCACAGAGGATCCCGAGGGTGCCCTGGGGGTCCCGTGAGGGTCCTGTGGGGCTGCGGGCTGTGGGTCACACCGTGGGGGTCCCATGGCAGGAAGGTCAGTGGAGGTCCCACAGGTGCAGTGCAGGCTCTGTGGTTCTGTGCACATCCCCCGTGGGCCTGTGGAGCTCCCGGAGGGTCGCTGTGTCCCCAGGGGGGTTTCTCTGTATCCCCTCGAGGTCCCTCTGTGCCCCACGGATCTCCGCGTGTCCCCATGAGGTCCCTTTGCGTCCCCACACTCCGCAGGGGGCAGCGGCACGTCCCGGTGCTATACGTCCCTCCCGACAGCAGAGGGCGGTAACGCGGAGGGAACGGAGCAGACGAGAGGGCGGTGCAGAGCGGCCGGAAGCTCCGTGTCACGTGGCAGCACCCGGAAGCGGCGGCAGGAGTGCGGCCATGAGCAGCGGCGGTGGCAACGGAGCGGCGGCCGCTGGGACCGAGACCGAGGCCGGTGACGGTTTTGTTTCCAGTTCCGGTTCGGAGCGGCGGGTCCACATCATGGTGGAGTACTGGTGAGGGCCCCGCCACCTCGGGGGGGGGCTGAGGGGCCCTGAGGGGCTGCGGCGGCGCTGGAGGAGCGCGGGGAGCTCCGGGCGGGATGTGGGTCTGTGGGGCGAGGAGGGGAGGGGCGCAGCTTTTGGGTTCAATCCCACCCGCAGCGAACCCTGCGGCTTCGGGGCCACCTACGAGGAGCTGGCGAGCGCCGTGCGGGAGGAATATCCCGACATCGAGATCGAGTCCCGCCTGGGGGGCACCGGTGAGCTCCGGGGCGGGGGGCTTCGGGGGGGCTTTGGATTTTTCTATGGGAGTATGGGGGCTCCCGGGGGGCTTTGGGTGTTTCCCATGAGGAAAGGTGCGTGTGTCCGTCCGTGTGCGGGTGTCTGTCTGTGTGTTTCCCCTCCCTGGTGCTGCACTGGGTCTCAGCCCCACCTGCTGGGAGGTGCTGGGACTGAGCCCGTTACAACCTCGCACAGAGGTGGGAGGGGGGTGGAGGGGGGTTGTACCTCACTCCCTGAGCTCTGGAGGCCGTGGGCTGACCTCAGCCCCATATCTGTTCCCCCCAGGATCCCTCAGCCCCATCCTGCTGCGGTTTGGGGTGGTGGGGATGGGAGTGAGGGGGGGGCACAGCTTATGGCTCCCTCTGTTTACAAGGCGCCTTTGAGATTGAGATTAACGGGCAGCTGGTCTTCTCCAAGCTGGAGAACGGAGGCTTTCCCTACGAGAAGGACGTGAGTACCCAGCCTGGTTCCCCCTGGGCCGTGTGGGGGGGTGGGGGCTCAGCAGTGTGGGACAACTGAGAGCCACACGTGTGCCCCCCCCTCATCCCCACAGCTGATCGAAGCGATCCGCAGAGCCAGGAATGGGGAACCGCTGGAGAAGATCACCAACAGCCGCCCCCCCTGCGTCATCCTGTAGCCCCGCGCCTGGTGGGGGTCTCCTGTCCCCTCAGCACCCCGTGCTTTGCTGCTCCCCGTTAAACTTCCTGCACCCATGGGGACGTTGGAGGAATGCGGGAGCATAAGGAGGGGAGCTGCCATGGTGCTGCTGTCACTGGTCCAGCTCTGCCCATCTCCTGAGGCCGCGTCCACACCACACGTGGGCTGTAACCGTGGCACTTACCTGCCTGCTCCCCTCCTGCCCCTCCCTCCAGCAGCAGCACAGAGGGGCTCATTCTCAGCCCCTGGGGGGTTTGGGGCACTCACAGCCCCGCTGCTTCCTGACCTGTGAGGCCAGTGAACGCCCAGCCCAACCTGACCGTCAGAGGGGACGCAGCGGCTTCAGAGCTCCCAAAGGTTTATGCAGAGGAACGTAAACTTGAGTGCGGTTCGTTAATGATTACAGCTTCTCTGATCACTGTTTAAACAGGTACGAGGGCAGCAGGGACCGGCTGGCCATGGGAAGCCCTGCTTGGCTCTATCCCCACAGCCCCGGGGTTCGTTTAACGGCCACGAGCTTCTCCTGCTGCCCTGTTCCCAGGCTCCTGGCTCTCACCCTCCCCACGTAATGACTCTGCCCTTTGCCGCAGGGCAGCTGAGCCCAGGGCAGCGTGGCCGAGCCGAGGTGGCCGCCCCCTATTTATTATGTACTGTCTGTAAGCCCCACGATCCAGTGCTGAATAAAGGATGGAGGAAAACACTGCTCCTCTTCCCCTGCGTCCCTGGAGAGCGTGGTGGGGAGGCGGGCAGTGAAAGCAGGGCTAGGTCAGCTCCCTGCTGCCCTGTTCTTGGCTGCAGCCCAGCGGGATCAGGGCTTTCCCTCAGTGCTGTGGTGGCAGCAGCTGATGGAGGAGACGGGAGCAAAGCACGCAGAGCCAGCAGAGTAGAAAAAGAAAAAAAAAAAAATCATATACAATGATCAAATATACATCCAGGTGCGACACCATCAGCTTCACAGGAATCCAGCAGGAGCCCGGGCAGCCCAGCATCCACCTGCTCAGTGCAAGTCAGTGTGTCCAGCGCAGCTGGGCGCCGGGGGGGAGGGGGCTGGGGCACAGCGGTGGCAGAGGAGCCTTTGGGACAGTGGCAGTGTGACGGGTGTATGGTGAGGAATAGCAGTGTGATGGGGCTCCCAGTCCTGTGCTGGTCGGGTGATGCTGCTTCCATCTTCCTTATTCCATGAGGAACCGTGTGAGCAGCCATCTCGGTGGGGCTTTTGGGCTCCTTCTGGGGGTCCTCTGTGCCCACCCCTGTGCTGCTGCACTGTCCCACGGTGCCCTGGGCTCTCCTGCAGCACAGGGCATCCCCTGCAGAGGGGGCAGTCCCGGCCCCACATCCGCCGCCGGCCTCACGCCGTCCCTCCCCAAGCTGCCTCGGTGAAAGGGGGGTCCAGCGGCGGCCCTGCCCTACACAGCCACGTCCTCAGGCTCAGCCAAACCCAGGTACTCGGGGTTTTCAGCTGCCGGCGTGGAGCCGGGTCCACCCTCAGGGCTCCCGGCTTTGGGGGGGTCCTGATTCCAGTAGTAGGGGTTGTCAAAGGCCTGGCTGAAGGCGGTGGGGACCGGCAGCCCCGGGGGGGCCAGGTACTCGGGGTTCTCCACGGCGCGGCCAAAGGGCCCCAGGAAGGGGTGCTTGGTGTCCTTGATCAGCCCGTTCTTGCCTTGGTGGCCCTTGGGCTTGTCTGGTGGGGACGGCGGTGCGCAGGGGTGCCGGGGGGGCGACGGCCGCTCCCCAGCCTGATTCACGTACTCTGCAGGGACAAGGGACGTGTCAGCAGCTGAGCAGGGTCCTTGCCTCCCTCCCAGGGTCCCTATTGCCCTACCTGGCATAGTGGTATGGGGAGCTGGGGGGGCGAAGCCCTCGGGGTCCAGACCCTCGCTCTCATCACCCGGCAGCGCAGTGGGGTCCTCGCTGTACCGTGTGGCCGGGGGGCTCGGCAGGGCTCCCTTGGCCCCAACATCCACCTCCAGAGCCTCTGGCACAGGGCACTCTGGCCCCTCCACCAGGCTCTGCGGTGGAAAGGGGAAGGCAGCTGATTCCTCGCCCTCTGTTGTGTCGGCTGGGGTTTCCGCCGTGCTCTGAGGAGGCAAGAGGGGCACGGAGTCGGGCAAGGCGCCGTGGGGTCGCACGGGGTCTGCGGGGTCTCCAGGTAGCGCTGGGGACTTTGCACCCTGTGGACCCTGCAGCAGCACGCTGCCCCAAGCTGCCCCAAGCTGCCCCATACCCGCGTGGAGGAGATGCGGCTGCGGTAGGCAGTGGAGGTCTCGGCACTGAAGAAGCCCTGGTGAGGGACCAGGTACTCCTCAGCATCCACCAGGTCGTCCATGTCCTCCTCCTCCAGCAGCGCCCGGTAGAAGGTGCTATCCATGGAGCTGGGCAGCCCGATCATGTCGTTCTGGGGGCGAGGGGGGGCTGTCAGTGCCTGCTGGGGCACGGCTGAGGGCAAAACCCCCGGGACCCCGTACCTGGATGACCACAAAGCGCTGGGGGTCGCGGGCCATGCGGGAGAACTCGGTGACCAGCTCACGGAACTTGGGCCGGCACTCGGAGTCGATCATCCAGCCTGGGGCAGAGCCGAGCGCCGTGAGGGGGGCGGTGGGGTCCAAGCCACCGTGTCCCCACGTCCCCCCACTCACATTTCACCATGATCATGTAGACGTCGATGGTGCAGATGGGCGGCTGCGGCAGCCGCTCGCCCTTCTCCAGCAGGTCAGGGATCTCCCTCGCTGGGATCCCATCGTAGGGTTTTGCCCCGAAAGTCATCAGCTCCCACACTGTGACACCTGAGGACACGGGGACATGGGGTAAGCGTCGCTTTGGGACCCCCTGCCCCACCACAGCCAGCACAGGAACGCACCGTAGCTCCAGACATCGCTCTGGTGGGTGAAGCGCCGGCGCAGGATGGACTCCAGCGCCATCCATTTGATGGGGACCTGGGTGGGAGGGTGGAGGGGTGAGCGGGACCCCCTGGAGGCACCACGCTCCCTGTCACCCCGTCCCCACGTCCCACCTTGCCCCCGTCAGCATGGTACTCGGTCTCGTCGATATCAAGCAGCCGTGCCAGCCCGAAGTCTGTGATTTTGACGTGGTTGGGGCTCTTGACCAGGACGTTGCGAGCAGCCAGGTCACGGTGCACCAGCCGCACCTCCTCCAGGTAGCTCATCCCCTGGGCAGCAGGCATTCAGCTCTGCACCTCCAACCCCCCGCGGCCCCCACAGCCCCCAGCAGCCCCCAGTCCTACCTTGGCGATCTGCACACACCAGTTGAGCAGGTCCTGGGAGCCGATGCGGTCCTTGTTCTCCCGCACGTAGTCCAGCAAGCAGCCGTAGGGCATCAGCTGCGTCACCAGCTGCACCGTGGAGGTCAGGCAGATGCCCAGCAGCCGTGACACGTAGGGGCTGCCCACCCCGGCCATCACGTAGGCTTCCTGCAGGCAGCCACGGACAGGAGGTCAGGTTGGCACAGACTTCCCAGCCCCGTGCCCGCCTCCACCGCACTCACATCCAGGATCTCCTTGTTGGCCTTGGGCGAAGTGTTCTCCCGCAACACCTTGATGGCCACCGGGATCTTCACGCTCTCCCCGTCGGGGATCCAGATGCCCTATGGGGGGGTCGGTGAGCGAGGAGGACGCAGATGGCGCCATCTCACTGGCTGTGCCTCCCACTCCTCACCTTATAGACAGTGCCGAAAGCGCCGGAGCCCAAAACCTTCACTTTCTTCAACTCTGTCTCCTTGAGGATGCGCATCTGCGCTTGGTTGGGAAGGGCCCCGCTGGGCGTCAGCGGCTCCACCAGCTGCAAGGGACAGGTGAGTGAGGAGGGACAACTCTTCGAGCCCTCCCCTCCAGGTTGCCCCACATCCCCACCTCGGTCTCCTGCAGCAGCCGCCGCATGGTGTGCTTCCTCTCCTGCTGCCGCCGACGCTTGACGCAGATGACGGTGATGAGCAGAAGGACGACGACCAGCAGAGCCCCCACCACACCAGCAATGATGGACGTCACCTGGCTGTGGGAGGTGACAGGGGGCGTGGGGACGTGGTCACCCCCCGATGCTCCCCCGTGGGGCAGGGGTACCCATGGTGCTACCTTGGCTTCTGGTCCACGGGGCAGCCGTCCTCGTCCCGGATGGTGCACCTGATAGAACGCAGGGTGGGTGAGCATCCAGCAGCCCCCTTCCATACCCCTGGTCGCGGTGCATACTCACGAGTGGGTGCAGTTGGTGGGGCAGAGCTGGCAGACCCCCTCCTCATCCGGGTACTTCCAGATGGGCACAAAGGAGGCGTCCACCTTCACCCCGCTGGGGCAGCGCCGCACACACTGCTGCCCGTCCTTGTAGTGCGCACACGCCACGCACTGATCCGCGTCCTGTGGGGCAGGGGGGCAAGGGGTGGGGGGTGAGGGGCCTGGCGGCAGCGCCATCCCCAGGCTGGTGTCCCCATGTCCCCGTGCTCACCGATCCAAAGCAGGTCTCGGTGCCGTTCTGTGGCTGGCACTCAGGGTGGCAGGGCAGGCAGCGCGTGCCGTTGGTGTGCTCCCGGACGGCACTGCGGGGCGGTGGGAGTGGGATGGGGTTGGGATCGATGCAGGGCTGCGTCCCACTCCCCCTGCCAGGCTCAGCCCATCCCTACACTCACCCATCCAGCAGGTTGCAGGAGGCCACGCACTCCTGGCCCCGCAGGAAGCGCTCACAGGAGACGCACTGAGTGGGGCCGGGCCCCCAGCAGTGCCCTTGGGCACAGAGGTGGAAGCACACCAGGCCCTCACTCTCTGGGGAGGTCGGACACAGGGTTACCCCCCATGGCCCGGCCTGGGGACCATGAGCAGGGCTGGGAGTGGGACTGGGGGGTCCTCACCGCACTGCTCGGGGGCTTTGTTGTGGGTCTGGAAGAGGTGCTGGCGGGGGTGGCGGAAGATGCTGTCCCAGGGCACCTTCTGGAGGAAGCAGAGCTGGGGGTTGTGGTGGATGAGCACCATCCCACTGCTGATCTCCTGCAGGGCACGCAGCCCCAATGCCCGCACCGCCAGGTCCTGCAGCGTCAGTGAGTAGGCACCGCTGCCAAGACACAGCCAGGTGAGCACCCACGTCACCTCCGTGTCACCCATCACGTCCCTCCAGGTCCCCGTCCCCATCTCACTTGTGCAGCACACGGCCACGGATAACACGCAGGTTCTGAAAGGCACCCAGGTCGTCCATGCCGGGTGGCCAGGCAGCAATGTACAGATACCCTGGGGGAGGGGAGGAGGGGGACACAAGTGTAACCACTGCTCGCTTTGTGCCCTCAGCTCATGTCCCCACCCCTGAGCACTCACCTGTCAGCTCCTCCAGGCTCTCGAAGACTGATAGCAGCTGGGGGTCCAGGGGTGCTGTGTTGGTGCTTGGGTCCCTGCGGGAGATAGGAAGGGGGGGTTGTTGGGACTGCAGGGGGTCGCAATGGTTCCCTCTGGGATGGGGTCTGCAGCACTTACCCAGCGAAGGTCTCGGGCAGGAAGGCCAGGCTGCCAAAGATCTTGGTGCAGCCAGCAAAGTGCCGGATGTTGGAGGCATTGACAGCACGGACGCCCTTGAGGAAATCCACCCCCAGGCCGTAGCACACTGCAGGGGGCAGAGAGGGGGTGGTAGATTCACCAGGACCTCCCCATAGTGCTGCCTCTTCGGCAGCATGCTGCAGGGCCCCTCAGGGCACAGCAGCCCCTTGGCTCCA